TTATTTATTTATTTATTTATTTATTATTATTTTTTTTTTGCTATTCAGTGTTGGTCACTGTATAGCAACTTCAGAATCTAGTCCTTTAAAGCAAGAATGTCAATACCTGCTTTCTTACGAGTTTGGCAAGACCGGCATGATTTACACAGCATTAACTGCTTGTTAACCCACAAATACATTTTTTAGATAAATGCAGGAAATAAATTATTTGAAATTACTTTTGATTTGACCGAAGAGGTCATAATGTTACATTGCTCTTTACCTAATTCAACATTGTGCAATTGGTCCAACCTTGTGTTTGCTTTTTCTAAAGTACATTTATATATTTACACAACTGAACACAAAAGTGCAGTGACCTCATGTACTAGTTGGAGTGACAATCAAACCCATTCCACAAGCTGAACTGTGGTGCTTTTACATTTTCTACAATTGTTTTAATTTTTTATTTTTCTGCCTTCTAATCCAGAAGAAACTATGGTTTCATAATGACAATAAAGATTCTCGATATGATTTGATGATCTGATTCTGGTTGGCAACAACAAGACACTTAACTGAGATGTGTGACCTCCATAGTGTGATTTCATGAAACGCTGACAGGCATAGAAAAATATATTTATGAGAAATGATTAAGGAGCTGTCTAGGTAGTATGAGTCATTATCTAAAGAGCATGTACAAGCAAAGCATTCTCAGACCAGACCAGGCATAGGAAGGAGCTGACATTGTAAATTTTTAAAAAGGAATGAAGAATTACTCACCTAAGGCCACTAGATGGCAGCAAATCACCTTCTGATTATTCTGGTGTTGGTTCTTACTTATCAGTTAGTCCAAAAGAACAGAAAAAAAAACTCTATATTTGTTTCTTTAAATGTTAAGCTATTTTGTCAAATGTTAAAAGCCATTATGGAAAGAAAAAAAATATTTATTTAACAGTAAGAGTGGTGTAGGACTAATAAGCAGGGATTGGGGGATAGAGGGCTAGTTGAGGTCAGTAATGCCATATGTCTGTATGGATAACAATAATCTCCTAATCTGCAACATACACCTAAAGTCTGGGGGTGGCAGGACCAGTGAAAAGGGTTAATTCTATGTGCAAAAAAAGTGAATTCCTCTTAATCTGATAACTGAATACTTTATTTAACTGTGCATAAAACTAGCAGTGATTCTATGAACAGGTTTCTATAAAGGTTAATAGGGCTTTAAATGCTGAAACGAATGTTTACGTCCAAGCCAGGGCATTTCACATAAACTTACTTAATTACTTTACATTTACTGTTTTCATATTTTATCGTAATATTAAAAAACTGTGAAAGAAAGTGTGTCATTTTGCTCTACTTTGATCCCCATCTGATATACCGTTTAAAAGTTCCTGCACCTTCACTCCTTGTTATATTAATAAACACAAACATTAGTTTATTTTTTCAGGCTTTTTCTAAATGAAACCAGAGCCTTCCTTTATTGAGTGTTTACACTTAGACAAACTTTATTGTCATTTTCGATGCATACAGATTTTCAACAGTCAATGAGCAGCTTGGCAACAGTGAAATGAACATTTCCATTTATAAAGTGCAGCAGTGATCAGAATGTAAACAGAGTAGGAGAAAAGGAAAACCAGTTTAAAGACATGGTTCAAAAGTAATTGGCATGGAAAGGTTCAGTGCAAAATAAATAAGTAAATAGGGTCCAAATGCAGTAGACACATTTAGTTGAGTTATATTTAAAGGGATTATGAAAAGATCTGCCATGTGGTACAAATATGATGTTTAAAAGTGTGATGCAGAGTCTGGATTAGAGTATCAACAGTTCAGCATCATGATGGCAGCGGGGAACAGCTGTTGCAGAACCTGCTGGTCCTGCGGCGAATACTGCGAAATCTTTTCCCAGAGTTCTGCAGGGAGAACAGCCCATGGTGGGGGTGTGCGGGTCGCTGATGATGTCACAGGCTCAGGACGCAGCGCTGGGGTGAAATGTCTTTAATGGAGGGAAGATTGATGCTGTTTATTTCTCTTGTTACTGTTATTATTATTGTTTATTTTGCAATCTGCCTTAAGACCTGTCATACTGGATGAGAAAAACTATACATTTTTTTATGATTTGTCACAAATACTCCAATGGATTTAGGTCAGGACTTTGACTCTGCCATTCGAACACAGGATTATGTCTTAATCTCTACCAGCAGTTTTCAAACTTCTTATAATTTCCTCTATCTTGAAAAACAAATTTAAAGTGGACTCAATTTTTTTCAGTCTGCTTAAATGTCATATTGCTATCTAGATGCACTATTTTATTATATTAAAAAGTTTAATTACTCCTACAATTTTTAATGAATGTTTAATATTCCCAACCCTAAAATAATAATAAAGAGAATAGAATAAAAGAGAAAAGAATAAAGAGAAAATGATATGCTAAGTAGAGGAGTCTGCGTTGTCAGGATCCAGTATAGTTAACTTTTATATAAAACTTACTGAAAGCTGCTTTGGAAACTTGTTTTATTTAGATCGTATATGCATTTTACTACAAGGACAGTATTATACACCCTCATCTGCTTTTCTTTAATGATATTGAAAAAAAATAAACCTTTAAGACACTTAGATGGGTAATGGGGTAAATGCAGTCCAACAATAGAAGCCAAACGATCCCCATTCCAAAGGGGTGGACCCCTCATCTGTTCCAATTTGCATGTTTTCTAAACAAAAACAATGCTTTATTGGGCTACTGTACAAAACCTCAAACTCAACACTATTCCTGACATTTTGAATTGAAAAAGCTTCCTGGAAGGGAAGCGAAACGTCTTCAAACTCGGAAACCAAGTCCAGTGGATTGCTTTTAATTTTTTTGGAACGACTATGACCTGCATGACTGAGAACCTTCACCAGCATATTCTTTAATGATAGTTTAATTATTAGCACCCCTCTCCTAAGACCATATTTGTTAAGTGTGTTATTAAAAGGTTGTCCTTCCATCTCTGCAGCTCCTAGGACCTAGGGCCTTCTCTCTGCTTTTTTTTAATTTTGTGTTTTTATCTCTCTCCTTGCTAGCATGTCAATTTAAGTAGACATTCGTTGTTTTTTCTTTTTTTATTGGATATATTATATTTATAATGAGACATATTCATGTAAGATGGTCAAATATTGGGGTATTGCATTATTATTATTGATCCCTGCTTTAAATCACCCCCACGATGGCAGTTCGATTTCTACAGAAAGCGATTGAAGCATATGGGTGGGAATAAATATTAACAGACTTAGACAGATTTATTTTGTCAAAAAGAAATTTCGTTTAGAACAGCTCTAGACAATTTCATATTTTAAAGTGCAGCCTTGAAAACAGTAATAAATACATAAAAAAATAGTAATATAAACACATGACTGTATATTTACAGTGCTATTTTTTATATAAATATATTATGTATATATTATGAATTTCATTCATTAAAAAAAAAAAAACTTCAAAGGATGTGGAAAGAATTTAAACTCCGTGTCCAAACTTCATAAAGACCCTGCATCATGTTTTAGCCGTCTGCCCCTCCTCTTCCGACGGTCCCTGAAGGCAGCGTCCGAGTGTTCCTGAACTGGACAGGAAACGGCGGAGACGCGCAGCGTGTCTCCCCAGCAGCTGCGGGAGAGAAGAATGGGAGCAGATCAATGGATCGCAGGCAAAGCAGCGAGTGAAAACATGAGGACAGTGGACAGTTTGAATTACATTTATATTTAAAAAAACTTAAACTATCTCCATCTTAACTGGAGTTCCCCTCCTCTGTTTGTCCCCCCTTACTGAGGGCAGGGATATTCATCATCTTGGAGAACAAGGAGGAGAAAAAGGGGGGATCTCTTTGTGAATCCTATTTCACCGTAAGTAGATTTTTTTATTCTATACCCGGACATATTGGTAGATTAAATTGTTTAATCTTTTATAATAGTAACTAGTATTGATAAAATCCCATAAATATCGCTTTAATCTATTTGTATATCTTCATTGTCCGCCCATCCCAAACTGACCTCGGGAAAAGAAAAAGAGAAGTAGCTCTCTGACTTACAAAAAAACACTTTAAAAAACCACGTAAGTCTGCGTAATTGTCTGTTTTCTGGCTGTTCGCTGTGTTTGGGTGTTTAATTGAGAGGGCTCCTGGGTGCCCCATCTGCGGCCATTGAACAATCCCCTTCTCTGGGAGAAGGGCCGTGCTGCGTTTGGGGGGGACTCGGAAACGACCCTTCTCTCTTCAAGGGAGTGACAAATCTACATGAGCTCATTGTTTTTCGGGGCATTTATCGATTTTTATTCCCAAAAAGCGCAGCTGTAGTCATCTGGGAGTAAAATGTGGATAAATAAGACCCTCCCACTGTGTCTGTTTCCAGCTAAATAAAAAAGGAAAGATGCCTCCACCCTGATACCGGGAGGCTGTAATAACCGAGGACACTGTCGAGCTAATGTTTGAGGTTTAGGTGGAAACAATAAGATATAAATGCTGTCAAATAACTGTTTTTTGGGGGGGGTATGCGCAGGTAAAGATGGACTAGTATTCCTGCGCAGGCAGCTCATGAAGGAAGTTTTAATCCTCTTTGTTTGGTGACGTCAGATGACATGCAGCCAGTGTGATCAGTGGCTGAACACAGCCCAGCTCTCATATTAGACTGCAACATAAGTGCCAAAACCAAATGCATTTATTTATCACCTAAATGCCCATTTTTTTCCAATTGTCTTTGAAGTGTCTTATATACTGTCTAGTGACCCTGCTTTAACCTTACTCACCCATTTAGTCTGTATATGATTGATGTGGCTTTCTACCCAGGGCGGCATGGCAAAGCGGGCGCTACAAGGCTGGAAAAAAGCTATGGTGTCCAGGTTATTTTTATTTTCATTTAGTCAACGCTTCTATTATATAATAAGAATAAATTCACTGAAAGGTGTTGAAAACCACCCACCTCTGTTATGGGAAGAAAAAAAACAAGAAGCCTCTGAGGCATAGTCTCTGCAGCCATCAAATCTGTCTAAAAAAAAAAACCTGACTACGCATCAGAAGGTCGCAGACCTCAAGTGGAAGTGCGCAGACAAAAGGCAGCTGTGATTGTTCTATGTGGTCGTCCTTCTCGATTCGGTGCCGGGGCGCGTTATTTTTAAAAACCGAGGAGTAATGGCAACAATGGATAACTACGACGAAAGGTTGATCAAGGAGGTTTGGAAGTACAGCCACTTGTACGATGCCTGAGACATCTTGTTTTCGAAAAATAAACACTCCCGCCGGCGCCGCCGAAGAAGTTCTCGTGAGTTCTCGTATAGGCTTGCGCTTTGGCGGCAAACTGCTGTGCGTCCCTAGTAATTCCAGACCGAAGCATACCAGCAAAACTGGTTCACAACCAGACGCAAGCGACATTTGATGTGTGCGGATGCAGAACTATAATCCACCCTTTACTGCATCACACTTTAAAACATCATATTTGCACTACCAACATGGCTGATTTTTTTTCGTTAAATCCCTTAAAATAGAACACAACTCAGTCTTCTACTGCATTTGCACCATATTTATTTAACTGCACTGAATCTTTCCACATCAATGCCTTTTGCACCATTTAAACTGGTTTTCCTTTTCTCCCACACTGTCTACATTCATGATCAACAATGCTCTTTATAAATGGTAATGTCTGTTTCACTGTTGTAAGCTGTATGCATCGAAATTTCATTTTGTATACAAGATGGCAATAGAGTTTGTCTGAGCCACTGGGTTGGCACCCTACACCCAATTTAAATGTGTCATCCACCAAAATGGAGCAGATTGACAAACTCTGATCTTTACCAGAAGTTTTCAAAGGGTACAAATAAAACTGTGCGCTGTGTTTTTAGATAAATCTTCCATAAGGAAGCTGCTACAGAGCCTCGCTTGTTGGCTGTGAGGTGTAACACCACTTACCACGGCAGTGCACTGTTGATCCTTTCAGAAAATATACAGAGAAATAAAGAAGTGTTTGGAGAAAGAGGCTGCAGGAGGGGGGGAGTTTTGTGGGTTAAGAACTTTACCCTTTTTTAAATTTTGTTTTGCTTTTTCTAGATTAACCAACACCCTGTCTTTTCGTAGCCACCCTACCTCATTTACATCTGTTTTGCCTCTTATTTGTTTATTCGACATGTGTTTCTGTGTAAGACCAAAGCTGGCCTGGTGACTTTTATTTTCCACCATCTGTTGACATGTTTTAGTAATCTCTTACTTTAAGCTTTTTAATTTATAGCTTAACAACACAAATGCCACTCTTCTTCCAGGAAAAAGCCACTGAACAACCACTTGGCCCGGCTTTTATTCCCCACAGTGACGTTATAATAGACCGTCTGCGTCCTGAAGGCACGCTTGATTTGCATCAGCAAAGCAGTAGACTAGAAGCACATTATTCTGGGCATGGAGATGGCCCATTCGCTTACAGTGCTGTTAATGGGCTGAAAATGACCACTAGCCTTCTGCATGCTCCCTCCTCAAGTAAGCAACTTAGGCTTCTTTTCTTTTTTGTTTTGCAAGAGACACGTCCATGTCTGATTTCCCTCTTTGTCTTAGAGAAGCGGGATAGGGCTGACGTAAAAGGTGTCCAAAACACATCTGGAAAACTCTGGGATGTGTTCCTCCGGGGGCTGTTAGCTCTGTCTGTTTCCTGCACTACTTCCAGAAAGTGACTTTAGTTATGACTGGTAATGTAAAATAAAGGACATTTTCTTGTTTCGTTTGTGGGTTTCACCCCAACAAGATTACTGCAGCTGAGGAAACGCATAGAAGCGAGATCATATTCAACAGCTCTGTCATAAAAAGGCCAGAAATGGGTTTAAGATTCTGTTACGGCAGTAGACCGCATGCTGAAATGGCCCTAAAAGCATTTCTACGTTTTACTTTCATCATTTCCGTCTTGAGGCTAAAATATTTTCTGGCTTTCTTAGCATTCTTTGCTTCACTGGAATGTGGCTGATAAGATTAGAACAACGGTTCTTACATGGGTGATGTGTCCTGAAAGCTGCTCATGTTTTTCACTCAGCATCAGTCCCCTCATTCAGACCCACACCCCTCACAAAAGCTCAGACCATGAGGCTAGAGGTGCCGGCGGTGGTCGGTGTAACGTTACTCAGATTGTGTTGCAGCCAGAGGTGCAGCTATAAGGAGGACGGCGTTTTCCAAACCTGAGACTGAGCCTTATGAAACTAAGCAAACCCTTTGAACTTTTTCCCAGCTTGTCATGTTATAACTGTAAAAAAAATGGTGGAACTATTTAAGTGTTTCTCTGATGGAATGACACCAAAACATTTGTCTACATCCAAAATATCAAACTCAACTTTATTGCCAAGTAGGTTTGCACTTATAAGGAATACAGAATCTATAGCTATATACCATATACACAGTAGATTGTGCGTTAATGTAATGCAGGAGGTCTGGAGATGCTATGTTGGTGTAGCTTGTAGGTCCTGAATGTGGGAGGGAGGCAGTGACAGTGTCATGGAGGTCTCTGGGCCTTGTTGATTAGGCTGGTAGCGGATGGGAAGAAACTGTTCTTGTGCCGTGAGGTTTTGGTCCACAACCTCCTGCTAGAGGGAAGTGACTGAAATAGTTTGTGGCTGGGGTTCGAGGGATTAGCCATAATCTTCCCTGCATGCCTCAGAGTCCTGGAGGCGTACAGATCCTGGAATGATGGAAGATTGCAGCCAATCACCTTCTTTGCAGACCGGATGACACGCTGCAGTCTGCCCTTGTCCTTGGCGGTTGCACCAGAGTACCAGATGGTGATGGACTCAATGATGGAGGCGTAGAAGTGCACCATCATTGTCCTTGGAAAGTTGAATTTTTTTCATTTGATGCACAGGAAATGCATCCTTTGCTGGGCTTTCTTGGTGAGGGAGTTGATGTTCAGCTCCCACTTTATGCTCCGTGAGATGATAGTTCCCAGGAAGCGGAAAGACTCCACAGCGTCAATGGAGTCGCAGAGAGTGATGGAGATAGCTGGGAGTGAGTTCTTCCTGAAGTCCACAACCATCTCCACTGTTTAGAGCTTTAGAGCGTTGAGCTCCAGGTTGTTCTCCCTGCACCAGGTCGCCAGATGGTCAACCTCGCACCTGTAGGCAGACTCGTCACCATCACCTCTTATGATGGCAGCAGCATGTTTTGGGGAAGGAGATGATGGGGCTAAATGTTGTTAAGCCAAGGAGACCTGCATAGAGGTTCAATTTCCAGCATACGTGTTTGGAACAACCTCGCCAAAATCCAGACCTAAAGATATGAGTGAAAATCTTTTAGTAAAAGACATTCTCTCTTGGTATTTGGACAGGCACAGTTGGAGATGTGCAGCTCTTTTAAAGGTGGTTCTAAAGTCAAACCTTTTTCTGTACCATGTTTTGTTTTTGTCCATTTGTTTGAGTCATTTGTTGTAATATGGAGAAAATTACTGCCTAGTAAGAGTTTATAAAGGTGCTTTATAAGAGGGAGAGATTGATATTTTAAGCGTTGGAGGTTAAAAATTAACCAGAAAATGTCAAAGTCCTTTTGACCCGTCGCTTTGGTAAGATTCCGATTTTAAAAATGGATGAAAAACAAGGCACTCCCCCCTGCTTGTCACAGGGCACGTGGCTCCAGGCTGTGTTAGGGGCCTCGCTCTGCCAACATTTCACTGACCTTTGGCGGGAGCTGGCCCTGGCGTCTGCAAACAAAGGCGAACAGCTAACCAGGGCTGGCTGTAGCCTGCAGAACCTCTGCTTGTTGCAGATAGCAGGTCGCTCTTCCTGTTGGCCTTTACATATATATACACACGAATTCAAGAGTATTAGCTCAGCCTCCTTCTGTTGATGGAAATAAACTGTTGGAGACCCAGATACACCTCTTTTGCCTTTGTTA